ATTAGCATGTAGTGTACAGCATAAGAATATTCGAGTTGAGTTGGCACTGCCAACCAACTCCCTGGTTCTGATTGGTCGCAAATCCAACCATCGCGTGAGTTGGGAATTTCGCCAACTCAATTTGTACAACTAAAATCTGATTGGTCCCAAGTGTCGACCAATCCTAATCCTCCCCTCCCAACCCTTCCTTCCCATTTCGCGCTACCTAGCATAGGTAGCCGATTTGTGGAAAGCGGTTGGGAAGGTCGTTTCTAGGCCCGCGTACCGTGCAGATGCCATGAGTTACACTAGAGCCGCAAGTGTCTAGTACATAAGACTCCTATACAACAGAAGAAGAAGAAAAAAAAGGACGTGACTCGCGTGGCAGACGCGTGGCGTCCTGTACCGTGAACGGATTCCAGGCGGGAGGCGGGGGGGGGAAGGGGGGGAAATGGCGAAGAAAAAAAATCAACGTAGCAGCGCGGAGGACGAGGGATCGCAAGACCTACTCGGGAATGCGACGCCCGTGCAAGACGAGCGGGCTGCTGGTACGTCCCTCCAGCGTCGTGCCTCCATCGCCCAGCGGCCGCGACTCCGCCCTCAACTCCCGTGCGCCATCCTGACTCATAATAGGCAAACAAAAGCAAAGGGGGATGACGACCAAGGGCAGGTGCAGAATTCACCAACGGGGAATGAGCGGAGAGAAGCACGTAGGGAATGGGGTAAAATGTGAGGATGTACTTTCGCCCTTGCGTATGGGATTGGAAGCGCGAGGTCTCACGAGAGAGGTGAGTCAGGGGGGAAGGTGAGAGGTGAAGAGAGAGGGCTTTAGGGAGGTGAGTCAGGGGGGAAACTGGGTGACACAATGGGCAGCATGGAAGTGAGTCAGGGGGGAAGCTGAGAAGTGACACAATGGGCTTTAGAGAGGTGAGTCAGGGGGGAAGCTGAGTGGTGATACCATGGGCAGCAGGTAGGTCAGCCAGACAAGCTGAGAGGTGACACAATGGGCAGCAGGGAGGTGAATCAGGGGGGAAGCTGAGAGGTGACACAGTGGGCAGTAGGGAGGTGAGTCAGGGGGGAAACTGAGAGGTGACACAATGGGCAGCAGGAAGGTGAGCCTGGGGGGAAGCTGAGAGGTGATACCATGGGCAGCTTGGAGATGAGTCAGGGGGAAAATGAGAGGTGAAACAATGAGCAGCAAGGATGTGAGTCAGGGGGGAAGCTGAGAGGGGACACAATTGGCAGCAGGGAGGTGAGCCTGGGGGGAAGCTGAGAGGTGACACAATGGGCAGCAGGGAGGTGAGTCAGGGGGGAAGCTGAGAGGTGACACAATGGGCAGCAGGGAGGTGTGTCAGGGGGGAAGCTGAGAGGTGACACAAAGGGCAGCAGGGAGGTGAGTCAGGGGGGAAGCTGAGAGGTGACACAATGGGCTTTAGAGAGGTGAGTCAGGGGGGAAGCTGAGAGGTGACACAATGGGCAGCTTGGAGATGATTCAGGGGGAAACTTAGAGGTGAAACAATGAGCAGCAAGGAGGTGAGTCAGGGGGGAAGCTGAGAGGCAACACAATGGGCAGCAGGGAGGAGAGTCAGGGGGGGAAACTGAGAGGTGACACAATGGGCAGCAAGGAGGTGAGTCAGGGGGGAAAGTGAGAGGTGACACAATGGGCAGCAGGGAGATGAGTCAGGGGTGGAAAATGAGAGGTGACACCATGGGCAGCAGTGACGTGAGTCAGGGGGGAAGCTGAGAGGTGACACAATGGGATTTAGGGGGGTGAGTCAGAGGGGAAACTGAAAGGTGAGACAATGGGCAGCAGGGAGGTTAGTCAGTGGGGAAGCTGAGAGGTTACACAATGGGCAGCTTGGAGATGAGTCATAGGGAAACTGAGAGGTGACACCATGGGCAGTAGTGAGGTGAGTCAGGGGAGATGCCAAGAGGTGATACAATGGGCAGAGGGGAGGTGAGTCAGGGCGGAAGCTGAGAGGTGAGACAATCGGCAGCTTGGAGATGATTCAGGGGGAAAGCTGAGAGGTGACACAATGGGCAGCAGGGAGATGAGTCAGGGGGGAAGCTGAGAGGTGACAAAATGGGCAGCTTGGAGATGAGAGAAGGGGGAAACTGAGAGGTGACACAATGGGCAGCAGGGAGGTGAGTCAGGGTGGGAACTGAGAGGTGACACAATGGGCAGCAGGGAGGTGAGTCAGGGTGGGAACTGAGAGGTGACACCATGGGCAGCAAGGAGGTGAGTCAGGGGGGAAGCTGAGAGGTGACACAATGGGCAGCATGGCATCTCCTGAGCGGGAGAGAGAGAGAGAGAGAGAGAGAGAGAGAGAGAGAGAGAGAGAGAGAGAGAGAGAGAGAGAGAGAGAGAGAGAGAGAGAGAGAGAGAGAGAGAGAGAAGGAGAGAGAGAGAGAGAGAGAGAGAGAGAGAGAGAGAGAGAGAGAGAGAGAGAGAGAGAGAGGTAGGGAGAGAGAGAGAGAGAGAGAGAGAGAGAGAGAGAGAGAGGGAGAGAGAGAGAGAGAGAGAGAGAGAGAGAGAGAGAGAGAGAGAGAGAGAGAGAGAGAGAGAGAGAGAGAGAGAGAGAGAGAGAGAGAGAGAGAAATAGGGGATGGAGGGAAAGAGTGAGAGAGGGAATGTGACTGAGGGAGCGATAGAGGGAGGGAGAGAAAGAGTGAGAGATTGTGAGAGAGTGAGAGAGCACCCGAAAGGCCGGTTTGGGGAGATAGAGCTAGTGATACATTACACTAGATTAATATGATCGCTTGCATGCGTCACCAAGCCACCAAGTTTGATCCAGGTTATGCCCCTAATGCCAATCCCGGATTATCAGTGAGAGGGAAGAAGCACCTAGTCGTGGCGGAGAGAGAGAAACAGGGGGGGGTTGGGAAAAAGAAGTATACATTGCCTCTAACATTAACACATAAACCCCTCTCACAACAACCAACCGCCCCCCCTATTCTGATAGGCAACGAGGCGGGCCCGCTGGAGCCTTGGTCCACACGGTCGCACCCCACCCGGCACAGAAGGCCGTCAATGATGCGGAGAGAGCTGTTGTCAACCTATCTGTCCATATGGCTCCACGGTTTGCCTTGTGGCGTATTGGATTGACATCGAAATCCGGGATGGACAATAGGGTGGCTACCGTCGACGACCTGCTACATCTCCTTGCCAAGCTAGCGGGTGATGCTGTTAAGGGTTTGGAGGCCGCAGCTCTTGCAGCAGGTGAGACACACCACTGCCGTCATCGTGTCGCATGCGGACGAACTGAAGCTCTTGGGCATCGTCGAAGCCCGCTACTCGCCCTTCTCCAACTACAAATACATGGGTTGGAGCTCACTTCCTCCCACCCACGTCTCTCATTTTTCAAACGGCTCAGTCAACTTTTACCGCTCTAGCCTTTTCTCCCGTTCAAGCTGGCTATGTCTAGAAATTTGCCTCAGGGCAAGTCTCCATTACTCTTCTTTCCGATATTTTTAAGTTTAACCAATCTGCCATGGCCCCAACTACGAATAATCGCGGCGAGTCCAACATGGCATCCGGCCACCCCAATTCTGAGTCTACTCGCCAAGCCCCGGAAACTGCGGGCAACCGGCAAAACAAGCGTCGGGTAGAAGACGGGGTGACTGCCCCAACAGGGGTGGACGTTCTGCTGGGAGGGGGCGAGGTCAACAATCAGCCTTCTGATCTGCCCACGCCCCCTTCCGAGCCGCGCACGCAAGTGGCTGAGCAAGGCCATCCACTCGCGCCTGACGCCGAGCCGCAGCACGCGCCAGCGTCGCAAGTGGCGGGTCCTTCTCACCAGCGCAAAAGGGGGCACGCGGCTGCCTCGTGTGACGAGCCACCCACCCCGAACTTGACCCCGTCATTGACCCCTTCGAAGGTCAACGCGCTCCTAACTCAGTTACAGCAGCAGGCGACGAGTGCTAAGGCCGCAGAAACCGCTCAACCTGCTACTTCTGCATCTGCTAAAAAGGAACCTCCAAAAAAAGAAAAGGCCACACGCGGAACCAAGATGCCACGCCTCGACAAAAACGCCATCACCAGCATCCCGCCTGCCACGGCTGCCGACGAGGACAGTGACGACCCTGACAATGACGCTGGTGAAAACCCCAGCACCGCTGCAAATTCAATTCCCATGGATCACATCCCTCCCCTCCCGTCCACTAACCCCACCCTCTCGGCGGTGTCCTTCCTCAATGCGGCCGTGCACGAGCAAGTGGAGGTCCTGGATGTCACATGATCGAATGACTCGAGGAAAGATTGCACTATCGATCAGTACAAGGCGCTTTTATACTTCCAGAGTACATCAGGTAACCATGTTTATCTTATCCTAGGAGAATAGACCCTTCTAGAAGATAGAATCACCCTGCGTATAGCCACGCGAGGCTATTGGCTTTAAGGGATTACAGCAGGATAACGCTAGATAGAGCGCACCAGTAAATCCCAAGCCTGGTCGGTGATATAATATAATAGCAGGATAAACCAAAGGTTAATGGAAAAGGAAGAATAGGAAACCAAATGAGATGGAATAAAAGAGAAATGAAAAAGGAAGGAAATAAGAAAAGGCCAAGTGGTGTAACGGGGTCGTACTCTCACACTTCCCCTCCTAAAAGCTGGGTGGTACAAGTAACACCCTGCTTGACAAGGTAGTCATGCAGAGGACGACGGGCGTTACCCATGTCGGACTTAGGTACCCAGCTGTCCTCAGAAGGATCACAACACTTTCAACGGATGAGAAGCTCCACGGTGCCATTCCGACGACGGCGGTGTGCGAGCACGGACTCGACCTCGTACTCGGGTTCATTATGGACGAGGACGGGCGGTGGTGGCGGCGGTTGGCGTCCGACGAAAATCGTGTTCGGGTCCCGATAAGGCTTCAGAAGTTGGACGTGGAAGGCGTTGTGAATCTTCCAGGTAGCTGGCAGGCGTAAGCGGAAGGTAACCGGAGTGACCTGTGCTTCAACGAGAAAAGGCCCGCAGAAGCGAGGTCGAAGTTTAGATGGGAGATGGCCGATGTCCAGGTTGCGGGTGTCAAGAAGCACCTGGTCTCCCACCGTGATGGTGTGATCGTTGCGATGGCAATCGGCTTGGCGCTTCTGTTGCTGTTGAATGTCGAGTAGGCGCTTGTGGGTCCGATCCCAAAGCTGATGCATGGTTGTGATGAAATCATGTGCTGGTTGGACTGTAGCTGATGCTGTCGGTTTTTGTGGTGTGAGTGGGTGGCGTCCGTAGCAGAGGAAGAACGTCGTCTGTCCAGTAGCGGCATGTGTAGCATTGTTGTTAGCAAACTCTAGTACGGGCAGGTGCAAGTCCCATTTGGAGATCTCGTTTTTGCAGGCTGCTCGGAGGAGTTGCTCAACAATTTGGTTGAGGCGCTCGGTCTGTCCGTCTGTCTGCGGATGGTAAGCAGATGACATGGCAAGTTTGGTCCCGAGGAGAGACATAAGTTCCTTCCAGAACTTGCTGGTGAACTTAGGGTCTCGGTCGGAAATGAGTGTGGTTGGAATGCCATGCTGTGAGATGATGTATCGAACGAAGAGTTGTGCTGTTTCTTCGGTGCGTGCTGTCGTGTGTGTCGGGATGAAGTGTTCCATTTTGGAGAACTTGTCAATGACGACAAGGATGGCGTCATGACCGCTGGAGGTAGGTGGTAACCCGGTGATGAAGTCCAGGCTAACCACTTGCCATGGTTGTTCTGGGACAGGAAGAGGCTGCAGTAGTCCCGCCTTCTTCTGCTTGCTGCTCTTCATCCGCTGACATGTATCACACGAGGTGACGAATTTCTGGACATCTTCTGCCAAGTGGGGCCAGTAGTAGTGCTTTGCAATACCGGTCAGCGTCTTGTTGCTACCGAAGTGTCCGGCGTAGAGGACGTCGTGGTATTCTTCGAGAAGTAACTGGCGCAAAGGAGGGTAATTGGGTACCCAGATTTTCGTTGATCCTTTCCGGTACGCGATGTCACTGTCCCACTGTATCGGATGTCGCTTTTCTGCCAAGGGAATTTCGGGGTCGGTGGCGTACCCGTGTGTGAAGAGTCCCTTGAGTAGTGGATTCATCAATTCGACCTGAATAGCGGCAACGTGTGCAGGCCGGCTGAGAGCGTCTGCTTTGTTCTTGTGATCGGGCTTGTACACGATGTCGTAGTGGAAGTGTGTCTCGAGGAAGTCGATCCACCGGACCTGCCGCCTGGAAAGGTTGGGTTGTGTCTTCAAGTATTTCAGGCTGCAGTGGTCGGTGTAGACGGTTGTTTTTCGTCCTTCGAGATAGCATCTCCACGCTTTGAAGGCGATGATGATAGCCAGGGCCTCCTTGTCGTGTATCGGGTAGTTGAGTTGTGCCCCGTGTAGTTTCTTACTTAGGTAAGCGATTGGTTGCAGTCCATTCCCTTGATCTTGCATGAAGACCGCTCCCACTGCTTGGTCACTGGCGTCAGCTTCGATGACGTAGTCGCGTTCGGGATCTGGCAAAATGAGTACCGGTGCGGACGTAAGTGCTTGCTTCAGCTGCTCCACGGCTTCCTGGTGCTTCGGCTCCCATTTGTAGGGCGTGTTCTTCTTCAGCAGATTCGTGAGTGGTGCTGCGATTTTCGCATACTGTGGCACGAACCTGTTGTAGTAATTAGCGAAGCCTAGGAACTGCTGCAAGTCCTTCATGTTCTCGGGTGTCTTCCACGTGCGTACGGCCTCGATTTTCTTGGGGTCGACGTGAACTCCTTGAGCGCTCACCATGTGTCCTAGGAACTGGACCTTTTCAAGGGCGAATTCGCTCTTGGACAGTTTGACGTAGAATCGTTCTCGTCGAAGAATTTCGAAGACGCGTCGCAGGTGTTCGACGTGCTGCTTCGTATTGCGCGAGTAGATGAGTATGTCGTCCAGGTACACCACTACGCATTCGTCCAAAAGTGGTCGTAGAATGTGGTTCATTTTGGCTTGGAACGTTCACGGTGCGTTGGTGAGTCCGAATGGCATTACAAAATACTCGTACGATCCATACCGAGTTCGTAAAGCAGTTTTGTGGATAGAGTTATCCGCCATGCGTATCTGCCAGTATCCGGACCGCAGATCCAGTTTGGAAAACACCGTAGCTCCCCGAAGCTGGTCAAGCAGGTCATCGATTCGTGGTATCGGATATTTATTCTTGATGGCCTGCTTGTTAAGAGCTCGGTAGTCGATGCACATGCGCAGGCTTCCGTCCGGTTTCGGTGTGAAGAGTACTGGGGCACCGTACGGCGAAGTGGATGGTCGGATGAGTCCTTTGGCTAAGAGATACTCGATTTGTTTCTTCTTGTCGGTCAGCTCCGTGGGGCTGAGCCGATATGGTGCTCGGAAGGTCGGCTTCGAACCCGGTTCCTCCACGATCTCGTGTTGATGCGTTCGGTATGGCGGTAGCTCATTCGGAAGATCGTCCGGAAGAATATCTTGGAACTCCTTCAATAATTCCTTGATCTTTCCTGGAGGTTCCTAGGTTCTCTCCCTGTCGTTCTCCGCCTCTGTTGCTATTGCCAGGAACCCTGTGTCGGTTCACTTCACGTCCTTCTCGAATCGTGCGAGTGTCTCCACTGGGATATCTCGTGTATCGTCCCAGTTGGGTAGCTGTACTCTCCGTCCATTGTTGTAGATGCTTGGGGTGCGGTTCACCTAGTTGATGTGGGGGTTGAATCTTTTTAGGAAGTCTCGCCCGAAGATCAGGTCAAGCCCTTTGATGTTGGTGATGGGAAGTGCAGGTCTCCAGCGCAGTGGTCCAATTTGTAGGTGTAGCACTGCTTCGCCGTGTACTGGTAACTTGCTGCCGTCCACCATCGTTGCAGAGAATCCTGAAGGCTTGTACTCTTCCCGAAGTCGGTTGATTACTGCCTTGTCGCAGACGATGTGTGATGCTCCGCTGTCCACGAGTGCTTGGAGGCGTCGTCCTTTGCAGATGACCTCGAGCACGAGGGGCAGTCGTTGCTCGGAGTACCCAAAGATAGTTTCATTGATTGGGTCATAGGGTACATCCCAATATTCCGTACACACCTTTGTGTTGCTATCTACTCCTGAGCTGGCAGCTGGCCGAGGCTGCTTGGAGAACGGTTCTTCTCCAGGGCCCGGAGTTTCCTTGACGACTGTGCGCGTCACTGATGCCGAAGAACTGGATGCATCCGGAGGAGGTTTTTGGGGTTTGTGCAGCTTCTTATAGACCCCCAGCTTCCTCTTGAGCTGCTTCAGCTCCACTGACGTCTTCCCTGGGGAACGGGTAGTCGTTGTGGGCTGGTGTCGGGAGAGGATGTTGACTCCGTGGAAAGGTCGGCTTCTTTCCACACTCCTTAATTTTTTCCCCAAGTTGTCCGGTACCGGTATAATCTCCACAGCTGTCTGCTTCTTTTGGAGTCCTTCCCGAATTTTCTCCAAGGCTCTAGCCCCTCGAACATCATAAGTTTTCATTAAAGCATCTTTATAAGATAACTTTAACGAATTCTTATAATTTCTTGGGTCTTCAAGGAGTTTCCCTGTCTCGGCAGAGTCTTTTTTCGCGGAGTCGCATTTTTCCTCGGTGATTTTCCCTGGCGAAGACTGGTCGTGGGGTGGAGATTTTCCCCCATAATTTCCTCCTTCTCGCGTGGAATCAGCTTCGTCGAAGTTGATTTTCCCGGAATCCCGCGGCCGTTTTCGGATCTTTTTATTTTCACCAGCTAGATCCGCAATCACTGGCGACTCCCGTTTTTTGGCTTCTGATTGGCTGAAGCAATTCCGCCACTGTTGCGTGCCCGATACTCTGCGCGTGCGGCTTTCATTTTGCTGCAGTCGAAGATTCGATGACCCGGCGCCCCGCAAAAATCACACGTGTAATTGGTGTTTTTCGGACGTGGCCGCCCCTCGAATCTGTCGACTTCCATCGGGTCGGCGAACGTGGGGTGAGCTGAGCGGTCGCCCTGTCGCGTACTGCCGACATGCGTCCGTCGTGTTCCGGCGTTGACCATGTCAAAGCGCTCCGCGGCCGATACGACGTCACTGTAGCTCGCTTAGTTTGACGCTGCGACTTGTCGTTTGACTTCGGTCTTCAGCCCGGCGAGGTACGATTGTACTTTTTCCCCTTTGGTCAGGTCGGGAATGCGGTTATAAAATTCCTCCATCTGCTGCGTGTACTGCGCTACACTCCCGAACTGTCGGTGTCGATGATTTTTTTCCCGGGCAAGGAAACTGGAATTTATCGGCTCGAAGCGTTTCAGCAGGTCAGCGCGGAACTGCTGCCACGTGGCTTCACCGTGGATGAAGGTACTGTTGCCGCCAATCCACTCGAGTGCCGGCCCTCGCATCAGTGTCGCCGCGAGTCGTACACGTTGACCGTCCCAGACTGGCGAGCTCCATCCGACGGCTGCGAAGTAGATCTCCATCTCGGCGATCCATCTGCGGGCGTCGGAGTTTCGATCGCTCGGATCGAACGGCTCAGGTGGGCGCGGTTTCGGAGCCTCGAGAAACTGCTGCGACTGCTGCGTCGTTGCCGTTGTCGAGTCGTGCTGCGCTTCGGCGAGTCGAGTTACTCGCTCGAACTCGTTTCGCCACGCTTCGCGGTTCGCTCGCATTTCCTCCTGAAGGGCTGCGATGCGCGCGAAGAGCTGCTGGGTAACCTCGCTGTTGTCGAAGGTTGCCATCCTATTCAAAACACGCACGGAGGGGGTAATTCGAAAATTGCGGAGCTGGTGCTTACCAGAATCGGCGTCGAATTGGTCGCCCCCGGCGGTTTTTCGAGGCAGGTTTTCCCGCTGCTGCTGCTTTGTTGAGCGCGGCTGAGTGAGAAAAGCTCTGATTACCAAGTGTCACAGGATCGAATGTGTCGAGGAAAGATTGCACTATCGATCAGTACAAGGCGCTTTTATACTTCCAGAGTACATCAGGTAACCAGGTTTATCTTATCCTAGGAGAATAGGCCCTTCTAGAAGATAGAATCACCCTGCGTATAGCCACGCGAGGCTATTGGCTTTAAGGGATTACAGCAGGATTACGCTAGATAGAGCGCACCAGTACATCCCAAGCCTGGTCGGTGATATAATTATAATAGCAGGATAAACCAAAGGTTAATGGAAAAGGAAGAATAGGAAACCAAATGAGATGGAATAAAAGAGAAATGAAAAATGAAGGAAATACACTGAGGGAAAAAACTGTCCGGATGCAGGGGATCTATTGCGTTTTTTAGCCATAATTTCAGAGAATGATTAAGCCTTAATGTGAGAACATTCTTGTGTCATGGGCACATGTAGTCTCAACTCTGTCCCTTGGTGTTAGCTCGTTCACCTCATACAAACATGCTCAGTTCACATTATACATACAAGGTCATCATCCGGACAGTTTTTTCCCTTGTCACCAAAAGATCTACTAATCCAGATTCTAGTAGCTAGTCCATCTTCCCCCAGCATTGATCACAGCACTCACACGCTTCGGCATGCTGTCTATGAGCCTCTTGCAAAAATCCGCGGGAATCTGCTCCCACTCCTCTTGGATCCGCTCCCAAAGTTCCACCATTCCTGATGGTGGCTGCTCGTACTTGGACAGCTCCTTTTTGAGGTGAGCCCAGAGATTCTCGATCGGGTTAAGATCGGGGGAGGAGGAGGGCCAGACGAGCACGGAATAGTCCTGCTCCCCAAGGTATTCCTGCACTAGGCGACACTTATGCTTGGGGTCGTTATCATGCTGGAAAATGACTTTACATGGCGTGAGGCTATAGAACTCGATAGTGGATGTGAGTTCATCCTGTAAAATGCTGCGATACAATGGCCCATCCATCCTCCCATCTATCTTGCACATAAAACCCGCGCCGTCATAGGTCAGGCATCCCCACACCATCACAGAACCCCCTCCATGCTTCACCGTTTGTCGGATTTGATGGCTCTGCAGGTTGTTGCCGTCGCGGATCCAGGCGTATGCGCGGCCGTCCGAGCAAAACCGATTTATCTTGCATTCGTCGGACCAAATAACGCGCTTCCAGTCCTCAAGCGTCCAGTCTACGTGCGCCCTGGCAAACTCCAGCCTGTCCCTAATGTTCTGCTTGGACAGTCGCGGTTTCTTCGGTTGCGATACTGCGACTAGACCAGCTTCACGAAGAGAATTCCTAACTGTCTTGGGGCATACGTTAACATCGTGTGCTGTTCCTAGCATTTTCGCCGCGTCAACGCTCGTTTTCGCCGCGCCACTAGTAATAGCTCGAATAACGGTGCGCTGGAGTCGGGGTGATATAACACGTGGCCTTCCACCTGGCGGCATTGTGGGTCGCACCTCTTCGCGGCTAGTCTCACCGATGACTTTGAGACCGTAGTCATGGACGGTGCTTTTACCTACACCTAAATCTTTCGCTATTTTCCGCACGCTAACCCCCTTGCGCAGAAGCTCGATAATACGTGCTCGTCGCTTCTCATCGACCGGCTTCATGGCGTCTGGACCGTGTGCGGACTACGGGGCTACGGAGCGGCGGCGAGAAGTTCGCTAGATCGAGACCTAATTTAAGACCGGTGGCGAATGTAGATGTCGAACGTCGATCGGAAAAAACTGTCCGGAAGCAGTCCATCTTGCAAAGCCTTATCATACGTTAGACCTCTTCGTTATTACAAACCTCAACTCGGTGGGTTCATGAATATACGCACTGTTATACACACAAGGAAATTTGTGGAAACTTATTGTTACCATAACAGGCAAAAATTGACCGGCAATAGCCTAAACCCATTTATCCGGACAGTTTTTTCCCTCAGTGTAAGAAAAGGCCAAGTGGTGTAACGGGGTCGTACTCTCACACTGGAGGAACTTCGGGCCTACCTGAAGCACGCAGAGCACAAGGTGCAGCAAGGCGACGCGCCGGGCGGCCTCGAATTCCTCGCCGACGCGCTCGCCCTCATATCGCGGCGCTTCGAAGTCCTCCAAGTCGAAGACGCCTGCGAATTTCGCATGGCCAAGTGTTTTAAGCTTTGCCAGCAGAAGAGCCTGCTTACCTTCAGGCCCTTCAAACAGGCCGTCGCCGACGTGGCTGCAATGGATCGCGCCGAGGGTGTTTTTTCTCGTGGCAATCGCGGAGGCGGTCGCTTGCCCATGCCGTTCGCGCCAAAGCGTGGCCCGCCGCCTACGGGAGAGTTCCGTGGCTTCCGAGGCACTTGCTTCCGCTGTGGCCAGCTGGGGCGTGTGGCCAGTGGCTGCCTGGCGAATGGGCATGGTGGCCAAGGACCCGCACCCGTGGTGTAGGAGTCGGGTCATGGGCGCTTGCGCAAATGGCACGAGGTGCAATGCACCCGGTGTGTGTGTAGGCCATTGGGCCCAACCCATGGGGCCACGGGTGGCGGAGGGCCAGCCCTAGTGTAGGCCATTTGAGGGTCCTAGGCTCAGATCAAGGGAAGGGGAATAGACCCCCTCGATCCCAAGTGATAGCCCGACTTTGTGGGGTGGATTTTGAATGCCTAGGAGCATGGTTGAGTAGCGATGT